TTTATCCACGTGTTTTCTCTGTTTACACACCGAATAACCTCAATACGACTTATCCATGTTATTAACTCACGTGATTAAAATAACTCCACTTTTCCAATCTTAAACTATATTTATATGCGTTAAACATGGTCAACACATTCGAATTATCCCTGAATATGGTGATAACTCAGACAGTATTCGGAGGTCACTGTCGATAATATGAGGATATCATCAAATCAAACATATACAACTTTATACGCTTAGCTCCGTACTATTAATAACCGAAGGGGCGGTAAGCAAATAACATGAAAAGTAAATAAAATTACTTACACTCAACAGTGGAACTTATCTCAGCCGACCGCAATGTGATTATGGAGGAAGCTACCATCCCAATGTGGCGCCAACTGTTTAATATCGTATACGGCATTCTCGTCCGACATAGACGCAGTGATCTCGAAATCGAACTCTGAAGAGCAGGTCACTATCACAACATGGCGCCGATTGCCAGTCACCGTAAGCGTCGCCTCTACTCGCGCCGATCAAGTGCATTACAAGCGGTATTGCAAAATGGTTATACCGGTATTGCAAAATGGTTATATAAATCGCAATTCGATCTTGTCAAGGGTCCAGCAACAACAAGGCATCTGTCATCCCATGGATTCTTACTACCATTAACAATGTTACACACTCGTCAACAACCTAAACGTCAACATTAACCATTCAACTTATTACCTGCACTCTAACTGGCAAGTATCATAGGCCCACGTGCAACCGTTAATTAAATTCATTCAATATTATTCAATGTAATTAATTAAATTTAATTTAAGGAACGTCACTGCAGCCCTATAAATAAATAACTACCAGGCATATCACCCTGGTCACATTAGCTCAGTCAGGAAGCTTTGCTATGGAATATGGGAGTCGGTGGTGCTTTATGCGTCCCCGGTATGGACCAAAGCGCTGTTGACCAAGAGGAATAGAAACATCTTGAAGAGGGCACAAAGGGCCGCATTTATGAGATCGTCTACGGCCTACAGAACTGTGTCGCGTGCAGCGCTGTGCATATTGACGGGTCTAGAGCAGAAATTGCTGAAAATTTTGTAGAAAGAATGGGGGCAGTGGAAGAACGTATAGACGGCAGGTAGAGGGATAAATGGAGTGTGTATGGAGAAGATAATTGGACCAAGATGTTAGTAAATGACGCTTGTACGTTTAAGAAATACAAAAGACATATTTACCATTGGACGATGCAACTGTTGACTGGACATGGGATATTCAACGTGTACCGTAGGACGATCAGCAAAGAAGTTCACTCCAGATACTGGGATTGCGACACAGAAGTAGACGACGCGGAGCATGCGTTATTTCACTGCCCTAGGTGGGGCAGGTTCCTCGATAGGACCGAACTGAAGAGCTATGTTGGCACGACATTGACGAGGGGAAATGTTATTGAGGAGGTAATTAAGGAAGAAAACTGGAATAAGTTCCACGCACTGTGCAGAAGAATTATGAAGGCGAGGCAGAAACAGGAGATGGACGTAGAAAGGAGAAGAAGAATAGGAAGTTAGGGCCTGAAGTGATGCCTAAAGGCAGTTCCGGGGTTGGTACGTGTACCATAAGAAGAGCGGATAGAGGAGAGGTTTTTAGTCGGTATGGCAACCATCTGCTGAGTCCCACTTAACCCAATCACCCTTATCACGCTGGTAAGGTGAGCCAATGTATTTAATTTGTAGGTACTGCATGCTTAGCCCTGTCAGTGATAAAGAAATTTATCCTCTTTCCCCTTGACAAGGTAAGACTGATTATATAAATAACTATTCTTATTTACGGTACAAATTTTAAAAGATGTCTGCCTATGCAAAATAGCGTCACCGCTATCACCACATTTCTCTGATGCTGGTCAAAGCCTGCTTGATCAAGGGGCTCTTTCCATGTACGGAAATTTCTCGCCGCATCGATTAGATCCATGCCAATTGCCTCGTTCCCAAGCTCACCCGCGAACAACGTACTTAATTTACTCCCGTGCAACCCTCTCTCCAGCACCTCACTCAGGTAGTTCATCTTGCGGATGACGGAGTTGCCGGTCTTGGCGACAGGCCTTATCTTCCCACCCTCGCTCTTCTGCAGGACGTCCATGGTCTCCCTGCTCGCCGTGACTGAATCTCTAACCGCATCGCTGTCGGACCAGTAAATGCCCATTATCCCCTTCATCTTCCCCGTTTTCACCCTTTTTCCTCCAGTACGCCGCTGCACGAGTCACAACCGTCGCAGTGATCATGCGGGGGTAATTCATCGCGTCTCAACGTAGTAAGAAAGTCATCGCACTCTAGACCCCACACCGGCTGACCACATCCGCAGTCGCCAAGGGGCCATTCACGCTGGACATCACTCCACTTCTTCTTTAATACTGACTCAAACTTCTCCTCGGTCCATTTACTCTCGGGACTTATGGATTGAGGCGGATCCCATCTCCTCACGTTGAAGAAGCATGCTTCGCAGTTGCAGTATCCAGCTTCTTCTGCTGATCTTTGGTTCCGTGCTCTTCCAACACCTCGGGCCTATTCGTCACTGTAGAAGTGACCGAAGCTGCCGGCTTCACTCCCTCTTTTACGCCCTTGCTCTCCGCTGCCTTAGAGGGCCGTTGTACGGGGACAGAATTGAGTTTTAATCGGTTTAATGGAATTTTCTCTCTTATTTTAATACGGATTCAGTATCCACCAATATTTTTTTGTATTTTTTCTATGTTTGTCTCTGGTGTCTTTCAGAGGGAGGGCCATGTTGTATCTTCACTTAGTGTCTGCGGTCTGTCCATTTAGGTTTTCTTCGTAAAGTATAGTTTTGATCCCTATTTTTCTTCTTATCTGATAGATTATTGGAATATTATTTTGGTCCTGGAGGTAGTTTTTTTCGTCAAGGTATAGGAAAGCTTCTGGGGGGATGTAGCCTGTTCTCAGAGTGTTTTTGTAATATGCGTCGTTTGGAAATAAGCAACTGAAGATTAAACTATTTTCCTTTATCTTTGCCGCTTGCGCCAAGTGGTTTCTTATTAGCTTTAGGATGTGACAGTCTATGCGGTGAATGTTGGCTAGGTCGTATATTATTTTGTTTTTTACATATTTTTTGAATGCTTTGTGTTCGGATCTGTAAGTACTCAAGCAAGCCCTGATGCATTTTCTTTCGAATATGCGAATTTTTTCCATTTGGGAGGCAGATATGTTGTACCAGATTGGGCAGCCGTAGGTTATGATCGGTCTGATTAGTGCTTGATAACATAGAATTTTTACTTTGCTGTCGAGATGTTTGGAATAGTTTTTTATTTTCCAGAGTGCTTTATTAGCCTTAGTAAGTTGAATTTCGGTGTGCTGCTTGTAGTTTAATTTATAGTCTATGTTTACTCCTAGGTATTTTACGCAATTTTTGTGTGGTATGAGAGCCCCTTTGTCTGTTTTTTCTCTTACTTGGAATTCTCTGCAGTGTTCTCTTTCTGTTGGGCCGATTTCACTTAACTTGGGTCCGAACAGTATGGTTTCGCATTTGCTTGTGTTGATTTTTAGTTTCCATGAGTAGTAATAGTCGTTTATTTTTTCGAAAAGTTCTTGCACTTCAGTTTTTATTGTCTTCGTTTTGCGGCCTGTTACGTAGATGATTA